TAAAAAAAAAAAAAAAAAAAAAAAAAGAGAGAGAGAGGAGAGACATGAAGATAGTAACCCATTTCTTCTTCCCAAGGAAAAACTAGGGCGTTTTTGTGTGCTGAGGGGACATTACCAATGGCCAGTGATAATCTAGGCAAAAAGAGGTACAATTGACTCACAGCAAGGACCCTTATTCCAAGAGAGAGCATCAAGAATAGGTACAAATAGGTACATCCTATTGAAGCTGACAGCAGATTGGTTTTTGTTGGTACCAGGGACCGAACTCAGAACCTTGCACTTTTGAGGCAGCGGAACCACTAAGCTAAATCCCCGGCCCAGAGAGCAGATTTTTAAAAAATAAGTTTACTTAAACTTTGAATCATTGCTCCAACGCAAATTGTTTCTACAAATTAATTTTTTGTTCATAAAACTCACAAAGCAGATTTTTCTTAGTTATGTTGATTGACGAGCCATGATTATTTATTTATTTTGGTACTGGAGATTGAACCCAAAGAGGTTCTACCACTGAGATACACCCATAGCCACTGTTATTATTAATTTTGAGAGAGTCTCATAAAGTTACGGGGGGGGGGCTCAAACCTGCCATCCTTCTGCCTCATTCTCTAAAATCTCTGAAATTATAGAGTGAACCACCCTTCCTAGCAAGACCCACATTTTATGATTGCACTTTAGGCACGTTTTAAAGTTACTCGAGTAAGAACCACTAAAAGGATTTCCCCTTAAAACTGTCTTTCACCTAAAAAAAGAAAAGTTCTACTTTTTTGTATTAGATCCTTCGGGTCTTTAGTTTGTTTGCTGCTTTTGTTCCAAAAACCTTTTATCATGCAACAAAACTTTTGAAGAAACTATCTTTCCTACCATCACCAATATACAGGGCAGTTTAGATCTGGAGTTTCCCAGCTGTTCTAAAAATTACTATTAACTATGAGAATCTAACAAACTTAGTTTACCCCTGAATTCCAAGGAGGAGTCGAACTAAGGTGTGTAGAAATAGAACCTTCCACATTTTAGGGCAAACTTTTATATTCGTAGGATTAGTGAGGATCTAACGTCTTACAAGCGGGAAACGGAGGGAGTGCACATAAACACATTTTATTTCGGAGACGAAATTAATGCACCTGACGCATAATGCACCTGGGTGGCACAGAAGCTCCGTGAGCTGAGTGAGGTGGAGCTCGACAGAGGGTAGACTCCGGCCACCTTAGATATTGCGCCCCGGGAAAGGATTTGCGCGTTCCTGCGAGGATGCGCGCGCACATAGTCGTGTCTCGCGCAGGGCCGGGCCAGTCAGTCAGGAGATCTCGCGAGATCGGAGACTGGGACGACTGTCGGGAGGAGGGGAGTGGTGTTGGGGAAGGGGGGGAACCTGGGCAGCGGCTGGGCTCTGTGGCTTCAGGGCTCGGAGGGAGACAGGGAGGGTGGCGAAGAGAGTGAGTCGGTGTCGCTGCGTGAGGAGAGAGGAGGGGTCCCGCTCGCCCTGCGCGCTTCGAGGGCCGAGAGCGCTAAGCACCCTAGAACCTTTGAGGCCTCCCGGCCCCT